CGTATGCGAGCTATTTTTTAATATCTACAAAGTGTTGTATTTTTTANGAATTTTTTTTCGTAAATGTCAACAGTGCCATGCGCCAGCACCCCTCCCCAACATATAAAGCGGCGCAGTGTGTCGGCCTCGCATACGATTTTAGTTTATAAGCTTATCTTTCAAAAAATACCACCTTTTTGTCCCTTTCCATGAACATTCTTTCCACAGTTTCATTCTTAAAATGCTGTATATGTCGTAGGGGTTACATAATGTCCATTTTGAAGCCCGAAAGAGCCGAAATCGCCAATTTTTTGTTGCCATTCCAAGGGCGCCCATCCCTCCCACCGAAAAATGGGTCATTGACCTTTCAGCACGCTGTATTTAGCTTACTGCGGCGCTATTTGGAAAAACAGGCCGTGGGTAAGGTCCAGTAAAAAGAACAGCCAAAAGAACGCTAAGATTTCGCGCGAGTAGGGGTCACGTGACTCACTCAAAATGGCGGATGGCGTGTCTTGTTTGCGAGCGGAGAAGCTGTGCGCTTTGCGGCAGCATTTGGGCCGGTAGACGATCTTTTTCACGGCCATATCCTACGTAGATTTGCAGATGTGGTATGAGATTATGAGCGAATATAATTTTGTTGATTTACAGTGCACAGGTAGAGACGCGTTTTTATTCGGTAGAAAATTACTTAGTATGTGTGAAAATCATGAAAGAACACAAAGGATAACGCCGCATAATGACGGCCGAGTATGAACTCGGCCGAGTATGAACTCGGCCGAGTATGAACTCGGCCGAGTATGAACTCGGCCGAGTATGAACTCGGCCGAGTATGAACTCGGCCGAGTATGAACTCGGCCGAGTATGAACTCGGCCGAGTATGAACTCGGCCGAGTATGAACTCGGCCGAGTGAGTATGAACTCGGCCGAGTGAGTATGAACTCGGCCGAGTTGAGTATGAACTCGGCCGAGTTGAGTACTAGTAGTTCTTACATGCGCGTGCAGTGCGGGGCGTTGAACTCGGCCGAGTATGAACTCGGCCGAGTATGAACTCACGGCCGAGTATGAACTCGGCCGAGTATGAACTCGGCCGAGTATGAACTCGGCCGAGTATGAACTCACTCGGCCGAGTTCATGCTCACTCGGCCGAGTTCATGCTCACTCGGCCGAGTTCATGCTCACTCGGCCGAGTTCATGCTCACTCGGCCGAGTTCATGCTCACTCGGCCGAGTTCATGCTCACTCGGCCGAGTGAGTATGAACTCGGCCTACATGTAGTGATGGGTAATTACATCATGTTGCAATTTTATAGCAGGAGGGATTTAGACTCCTGTCCCCAAATATGTGAATGTGTTCGAGTAAGAATTAACAGAGCATGCTCAGCAGACCATATGCGAAGGTAAACATTATGCATTTGCTTTGCAAATGTTACATGTACCTTTCTAGTATATATTTTCATCAGCAATATTTTGCTATGTGTCTTCTGTTGCAACATTAGGTCCTGAAGGACCAGTATGAGAGTGAGAAGACTGAAGTTGCCAGGCTGAAGGAGCTGCTGGCAAAGAGTGGAGACAAGGGTGACATTGCCATAGCAACTGCTGCCGCGGCAACCGTCATCAGCACCGGTGTGTCCATAGAGGAGAGGGACAGACTGCAGAAACAGCTGGTGGATGTGCATAAGGTAAGCAGACATAGGATCAGCTATGGATGAAGGAAACCCTCACTTTGGCTAGTTATCAGTAACAGGGCTCTATCCAGCTCAAATTTTTTTTCATCAACCCAGGTTCATGATTGGACCTGGGGGGAGAGTGCTCACAATTTAAGGGTGTCTGGGTATAAATTTTGGAAATTTTTCATGAGAAATTTTCAACTCCTCTTTAAAAAAGTTGAGACTTGTAAACATCACAGTTTCGTGGACGTCTGAAGTCTCCAACTTTTTGTTTTACTTGCATACTCAGTCTGGCTACTTTTACTTATACCAAGTAAACCACAATTCCGGGGTCTACATGTTTGTAAATACTGCGTGCATATATATTTTTCTAAACCGAATTTAATGTCATTTTTCCCCAACCGGGGGTTAGACGTGCTTGCACCAAGTGCACTTTAGTGCAGGTAAAATTGGTGCTGTGCAGGTTCATTTATTTCTGATGTGTAGACACCTAACCTGCACTGGTCCATGTGCTGGGTTTGTATAATTATACATACTAGGTTTCTGTGGATTTTTATTTGTTGCATCAACTGTTACCACCTCTGAAGTATACAAAAGAAATAATGGCAATGGTTTCTGAACAGTTTATATCATGCTCCATACTTCCTAAATTCTGAGTGGTGCAGGTAAAACTTGTTGGGTGCAGGTAATTTTCTAATGTTATCTGCACCAGTGTACATGTATAGGTATGCAGAAAAAAGGATTTCGAGCCCTGTACATGTTTGAACCGTCTGATTATCTCAATGCAGGAACTTGCTGAAATGCGGGCAAAGTACGAAGCCACGTATGCTCAGCTGCAGACCATGGTGGAGGCCTCTGGAAAGGACTCCATTGAAGAGAAGATCGAGGCAGTGAAGAAAGAGAAGGCGGTGATCACGGAGGAGGAACAGAGGCTGAGAGACGAGATTGAACAGTGGAGGAAGGAGTTTGTGGACAGGGAGGGGAGAGACCCAACAGAGGAGGACAGGTATGGGCCGTGGGGTTTATGTTTAATATGTTTCCCATCACAGATTGAAGTAAAACATTTTCAATTTTTTTTTCAAATTGAATATAAAATATTTGGCAACAGGTGCATGCAATTTTGTATATGCCAATGGTTTAGGTCCTGACTCATAATTGATTTGTATTTCCAGAAAGTACCGTATTTCAAAATTGCAGGACAAAAGATTAACATTCTACCATATTGCAGAACACTGAATAGAATTATGTCTAGTTATGTTTACCGAAGGAGATCATATTGTTTTTGCTCTGTTTCCCCTTCTTCTTCTCCAAACAAAAAGGTCAATGATCTGAATCAGATGTCTGTCACCATTGTAACTGATGTTGGGTTACATCATGTTGCAATTTTATAGCAGGAGTGATTTAGGCTCCTGTCACCATATATTAAATGAATGTGTTTGAGTAAGAATTAACAGAGCAGACTATATGCGAAGGTAAACATTACGCATTTGCTTTGCAAATGTTACCTTTCTAGTAATTATAAGTAAACTTGTGTGTTTGTAGGCCCAGTATGGTCCAGGAGAACTATGTACAGCTGGAGGAAGTAGGGCTACTGAACAAACAGCTGGAGGAGAAACTGGAGACCCTGCTACTGCTGAGGGACGGCAAGATGCCACAGGTCAAAGTGGAGAAGGTCCCTGAACCCATCACGGTATGTTCTCTGGTCTAACAGTGTGTATAGGAAAAATTAATGAAGGTTAGACATCCAGGTAAGACCAATTTGATTATTTTTGATTATGTGGATGAAATCTGCGCACACCAAAAAACAGTCTGAAAATTATACAAAGCAGCTGCAAAATATGCAAATATATGCTGTAGATTGCAAAAAAAATATTATCTAGAAAACGACACTAATGTCGTAGAAGGCCAAACTCAGTTCCACAGGAAAAGAAGAAAACATGAAGAAATGAAAATGAAGAGTCTATTATTCGCCATACCATTGCCGTGTACATGTACTGTGTGTTTACTCATTTGTTCAACAACTTTTTTATTTGCATCAGTTTTGGGGTTCCCGGAGAATGTCATCCATATAATCAAATCAACATGGCCAGAAATAATTAATGATACTCTTTGAGATAGACAATTTAAACTCTACTACTGGAGAAAATACTTCTTGATATTTTGAGTTACATTCAACACTTTTCTCGAATGTACTAACAGTGTAGCATGAACTACATTTAACTTTCAGCTCATTCTAGTGACGGATGTCACTCAAAGCAAGCATTGCAGAGTTTCATGCAAAATTGTTTCCTGCTTTTTGGTCTAACTTGTAATTATAATGTCTGTTGTCAACTTTTGATATTCAAGGTGACAGTTCCGGATCCCGCAGTAGTTGCTGAGTTGGACGCCACCCGGCAGAAACTGGCAGAACTGCAGCAGCTGCTCCAACAGAAGGAGAAGGAGAAGAAAGATTTGGAGAAGGAGAAGAAAGCACTGGAGAAGGAGAACAAGAAACTGAGCAAGAACAAAAGCTCCGGGAGTCCTACGGCTAGTACAGGACAGCTGTCACAGCTACAGCTGTTACTACAAGCTGTCGTTGAACAGGTAAAGCACAGCGCAATAACCTTTTTAGGAATTCTTTGCAATTTGTACCTGCTTGATCCGGTTGATCATTGGAAGAACATGCCTAGGAGTCCCCCAAAAGTACGTTTGTATGTTTGTTTTCAAATCATCATCATCATAGTAATAATCCATAAATGTATCCCAGTGCCATAACCAATATGAAACAGGGGCTTCTGATTTGTCAACATCATCTGGCTATCATGAAAGTTCATCTGTGTTCTTGATTGTTCCAGCACAAATTTAAGAGAATAATGTTCTCATCTAAAGCTTTCGACCAGGCACACTGGTCTTCCTCAGTAGACTGACCCAGTGAGGCTTGTCACGTGGCTTCTTTGAAGTGTGGCATCAACACTGGGTCAAAGGTACTTTGTAAACGATGTCTCACTGGGTCAGTCTACTGAGGAAGACCAGAGTGACTGGTCGAAAGCTCTAGGTGAGAGAATTTCTCTTTTGTGTTGGAACAAAAGTTTTACATCATCTGGCTAGATGGTAATTATAGTAAATAAATGTATCCCCCGTTCTTCCCAGGTGCACAGTATCCACGGTGATGTGAAGAAAGCAGCAGAAAAGGTGCAGAAGAGATGTAATGATGAGGAGGATCAGCAGGAGGCGCTGTCAGACACAAGGGACAAGGCACAGCAGGCTGTAGATGACTGGGCCAAGAAGTTTGAGGAGGAAAATGGGAGAGAGCCAACTGAAGAGGACAGGTTAGTAACAATTTAAACCATAATTATGACACCAATAACACTATTTACATTTCACATACTACATTTAGTATGATTTACATCTCACAAATATGCTAAAGAGTACAGCTAAGGGTACTGATAAAATATTGTCTATGTGAACAGGTGGTCACTATAAATGTTTGTATCAGTGGAAAAAATTATCTAAGGGACCGGAAATAGTGGTCATATTGGCCAGGTCTTCCTAGAGACGTAGAGGTCTGTACAGGTTTGGCTGTAAAAAATGAGATTAGTTGACTGAGGAGTGACACTTCCACTGGTCGTAACAGCAAAAACAGACGTTATGTACAGTATTTACAGGTTCATTGTACTGGGGAAATTCCCCTAGCTCTTCGCCACAAGCACAATGAACCTATCATCTGCCTGCGACCCTTTACAGTAGTGTGCATGTCGGCTGAGCAACAACTACCGGGATTTGAACTCCCAACCTCTTAGTCCAGAGGCAGGATCGCTAACCACTGGTCTACGCATGCTACTATATTCTAGAATAGTTATAAGATGCGAGACTGAGGATAATGACTGAGTATCTTTCTCCTTTAGAGATGAGGAGGCGGAGAATCTGTATGTCTCCCTGGAGGAGAGTCAGAAGAGGGTCCAGGAGAACCAGACCGCCATCCTGGCTCTGACGGCCATCAGGACAGGACAGGTGCCGCAGGAGTTTGCCATCACAGGACCTACACCAGCTGTAACAGCTGCGACAGGTGAGCATTCACTACCTCAAGACTTCTTTTCAAGTACAATGTACTTTAACAAGTAAGATATCAAGTACAGTCAAACTTGTCTAAGACGACCACTCAGGGGACTGAGGAAAAGTGGTCTTTTTATACAAGAAGCATGGCCATCAGACAAGACAGAGAACAAGAAACCCCAAGAAACCCGCAGCAAAATTCTGCCACAATGACCCAAAGTGACCAATGTCCGTGCCATTTTGTATTGCGCAACTTTTATAAAAATGTCATGCTGTCAAAATCAATGGCAAACTGGCCAATTTCATTAAAATTTCTCACTATAGTTATAAAGAAAAATTTCCCACCATACATTTGGAAATGACATACTATTAGGCAGAGATTGGGCCATGTGCGGTCCCAAATAGTGCTGGTTACAGTTGTGCTGGACAAGTGGTTGCTTAAGCAAGTCCTTTGATGATTACGTCTATATAGTATGGGAAAAAAAATTGGGACCAAGAAAAAGCTGACACTATGGCAGATGGTTGGCTTATAGAGGTGGTTCCTTCCCGAGCAAGTTTGTACTCTCTAAAAATATGAGTCAGATTGATGACCAAACTTCTTGTAGAGAAACTACAAAGGTCATGTCCCAGCATCTTACATTATATATATGTGCTTGCTTACATTTAGGTGTGTCTTCAGAAGAACTGTCCGAACTGGAGGACAGGATCCGTGAGTTGGAGGAGGAGAGGGATGAGCTGAAGGACACCAACTCTGACCTGACGGACAGCCTGGAGCAGCTCAAGCTGCAGCTGGCCAGCGCTGCCCAGGGGGACAGCTCTGCTGCTGTAGCTGCTGTAGCTGCTTTCTCAGCTGTCACAGAGGATGAGTCAGGAGAGCTCTCTGTAAGTTTACAATAGCAGGGCTCGAAACGCTTTTTTGGGATAACCTAAAAGATTGGGTGCACAAAAACTTTTGGTGCACTGTAATAAAAAAATAAAGTAGAATGTCAGCAAAACTAAATAAAATGATATGATTCATTTCTATTTTAGAGAATTTTCTAAAAATTTTTCTAAAAACAGGAATAACCAACGTGTAAACAATAATATCAATAAAATGCCTATTAATATCAATCAATAATTTTTCTGACACTCAAGTAAAATGTCAAGAATATGCTGTATACTTGTATACATTTAATATCTCTACTTAGTAATACGTAAACCTATGAAAATATTTGAGTGCACTGGTGCACCCACAGAAAAAATTGGGTGCACAGCTCCAATTTTGTATTCAGTATTTCGAGCCCTGGATATCAGCAGCCCTAGTCTTCTTCTAATTCTGGAGTCACCACTTCAGGACACACCAATTTAATTTGTTTGTTCTTGGAATTTTTCAGAAAGAATATGATGAAGCAACAGGGCAAAAAGAAGTAAGAAACAAGAGTTCCACGACCTCATACCTTTGCCAAATGATGTTAACCATTCCGACAGAAGAAATTAAACATTTTCCTTATTGATTATGAAAATAAGATCCTCATTTCATTTCCATCATGGATTATATCAGTTGATCATAATAATTATTCTCCATCCAATGGCAGCCTTAAGGTAACAGAGAAGGCTATTCTAGCACTTCCTCATAAATTATGCAAATGAGGTAATGGTTTCAAGAAATTATGTTTATTGATGTCAACTTCACTTAACTTCCAAATGTGGCAAGTACGAACTGTCTGGCAGTTACCGCTATGAAATTATAGCAATTTACAATTAATTATGCAAATTAGGTCTGCATTTACATAATCTATATATCCTGATGTTCCTCTCATTCCTAGATGCATGTCTAGATCACAAGATATCGAAACTGAATTCTGCTGCAGTACCTACGAAAGCTGCCAGTGTGGCCAAATCTGATCATTTCTAGGTCTCATGAAGACCTACCCACCTACCAAGTTTTATTACAATTCATCTAAAGCTAAAAAACAAACTCTTCAGTGTCACTAAATGAACCTGAACTAAGTGATGCTGGAGAAGAGCGACGGATGTCACTCAGAATGACCAGAAGTAATCTATTTGTAACTAATCTAATTGTAATTTATCCAGAGTTTGATTTGTCTTTGTGTATTGTTAACCTGGATGTCTAACCTTGATCAACGTATCCTACAATTATCAGCATACAAATGTAAGAATCATATGGTAAAACTAAAAGTCTTACTAAGTGTTTGTACATGTACTGAATCAGACGTTTGTCCCTGTAACAGGAGATGAGTGCCCACATGGCCAGTCTGCAGCAGGAGGTGGACAGTCTGGAGGCACAGCTCCGACAGGAGAAATCTGACCACAAGGACACCCAGGAAGAACTGGACAATCTCAAACAGGTAAGGCTAGGAAGAAAAATTGTGTTTCCGATTTCCCGACTGACCCTAGTAAAAACCTGCTGACCCTAGCCTTGATGAAGTAAGGCTGTAAAAGTTTCAAACACTCTGAATCTGAAACTTCATTTACTGCATTTTTCTTCAGTAAATCAGGACTGGTGAAATATTTGTTCACAAGCAAACAGGTGGACGGGTCTTTGAGACAGTCCTGATGCATTGTTAAACTTATTTGTTGGGTCATTTTTATATTGTCCAAAATCTAAAAAAATAGAATTAAGGGAAATAAAATCCATATATAACAAATCTATTTTTTTTCAGAATTGAAACCGGAAATACAACATTAATTTCCCCAGGCCTAAGGCAAATTATGCTTGACATCCATGTGAGCATGGGCTTTGGTTTGTGTAAAAATTTGAATTCCACTGATCCATACAAAACACTGAGCCCATCCATACACTGAGCCCAAGCAAAATATACATACATAACTTAGAGTGTACACTAGCTTGTACTTGGGCAAGTTTGACTGTACTTCTGACAGTTTTGCAGGAACTGGAGAAGCTGAAGGACCAGTGGGGTCAGGAGAAGACTGAGTGGGAGGGGAAGTTGGAGACAGGGAAACAGACGGCTCAGGACGAGCTGGCAGCCACAGACGAGGCCCTGCAGAAGGCCAAGGCTCGCATCGAGGAGCTGGAGAAGGCTCGTCTCAAGAACCTACCTGTGGACGCACAGGAGGAGGTCAAGGAACTGCAGATCAAACTGGTGAACATATTCTGTCATCTTGTCAGAGAGTAGATGTTGTAACTATTTTTAGGTGGCACCCAAAAAAATAAAGGGACTCCGCACTTGGCTTGTTTTGGGGCTATTTCAACAGATTCAAGTATGAAATGATGACAAAAATGTGTTAAGAAATGGTAGTAAAATAATGTCAATATCAGACAGATTCCGTTTTCCAGAATATCTTTTTGTTTTGCCACCCTAAAATTGCATTGGATGCCTTTAATACAGTTCTATCAGCTCCGGATGTACATGTAGGATAATGATAGTGATGACAGTTCCAACATGACAGACCTTTGTTGTCATGTCTGTAGGCTGCGGCGGAGGCAGCAAAGGCAGCTGCAGTGAAAGCCAAGATCAGCGCTGAAGGAGGGACGGCCGACTACAAACTCCAGGTGGATACACTCAACAAGGCTGTACAACAGGAAAAGAAGACCAACAAGGAGTTACAGGTAGGAAAATATCAATGCCATTTCTTGAGGAACTTCAGAAACCTGGGACATTTGAATGGATTCTTTTTAGTTCTTTTGGGGTCATTGCATCGTGTTTGGTACAAGTGTCAGGGCTTGGAATATTTTTTTTTCCATTTACATGGAGGGTTGCAAAATTACATGTCGTTAGAAATTTACATAATTATGCGATTTAAAAAAATCTACGTGCAAAATTGAAGTTGCTCCAGCCTGGAGTCTTCTCTACATTAGTTACACAACAAGATACATATTCTCCAACATCACATTATGATAGAGGGAAATTTTTACATACTATTAGTACATGTAGTAAGTGCACCTGGAAGAAATCAGGTGCACTCCTGCAAACCTGACGAATTTCAATACACTTTCTTTTTCCCTTTTTTTCATATTTAAAAAATAAAAATCCAACTTGAAGAACCAACAAATCAAATTGGTGTGGCCTTATGTTGAGTGTAAATCATGATTTTTTTTGTTGCAGTATTTTATATCAGTGTTTTTTGCGGTCACTTCTGTATCGTGAACCTATCATTACTAGTACTGTAAACCAATAATTCGCTTTATGCTGCACCTGCCGGCACCGCAAACTTATAGTTCCATGAACATGTCCGATTTTCTCAGACCGTGCAGTTTTGCTACCGTAAATCTCTGAATAAATAATGTTACTTCCTTACAGGATGCCCTTCTTAAGCACCGTAAGGAGAAGGAGAAGGAGGTGAAGGAAGTTGTGAAGGCGGCGGAGAAGAAGGAGAAGCAGCGTGCGGAGGAGGAGAAGAAGAAGATCTCTGCGCTGGAGAAGAAAATCGCGCAGCTGTCAGCTGCAGCAGCTGCAGCAGCTGCGCGACCAGCTGCAGCAGAGAGACCAACAACTGCCAAGGTCAGCACCTGTTTTTACAATTTTCCAGAATCCTGGGAGAAAAGCAAAAAGAAGTTTCATTTATTCATTACTGGAGTTATGCTGAACACATGCAATCAACAAATGCGTAAAAAGCTTGCTGCTACAGTAACAGTACCATTGGAAGAATCCAGGTGCACCATTTTTGAACTTCACCTTCATTTCCACAATAGTTACCTACATACTTAATATCAATAAAATTCATATACAACTAGAGGTCGGAGATCTCATGTCTTCGTCAGAGGTACATCGTTAGAGAAATTAACATGCGTATTCTTCACTCTTTTTAATAATCAATTTGGTCTAAAGAACAAAAGAATCTCTGTACTATTTTTATGGTACAGAACACCCTGAAACGGTTTGCCGCAGATTATACAGATGCGTCGTCACCCGTGTTAGCCCCCCCCCCTACGTTATTTGAGTTTGGACTGTTACTGGAAAAAAAAACGTTCAAGAAATTCTTACTGTGTTGAAAGTGTCATGACAGCGCCGCAAAATATAATAAGAGAAGATGTTATAAAGGAAAGAATCAGAACAGGGTGACTACTGCTGTTTTGTTAATTTGTCTTTATGACAAATAGAAGACTTGTTTCTTGTGTTCTTTGTGTCCTAACATTTGTACTTCTACATTTAGTATATTCCAAATCTAGGCATCTCGTTTTTCGGCCCTTCGTGTTTTTATTGCGCGCTTGCCTTAAATTTAAGGTAATTAGATTTAAGGTCTCCAGTGGACGTCATCCATAGCAATTACTTGGTGTGGCCGTAGAAAATAACCTGACATATGTCCAACCTATCCTCCCCCTACTGAAGTTATAGTACAATCCCTCAATGTAACGTCATTTGATCCCATCCCATTATGGGGTTCCCCGGCTATATCCAGCTGTCGGCTGTCTCCAAGCAGATGTAGGTGGGGGATTTCTAAACACAAAAGGTCCTATTACGGGGACATAACGACCTCCACGACTCTCATCTTTGAACTCAATCTTGGAGACTACCACAGTAACATGCCTATCAAATTTCATTAACTTCCATCCACACATACAAAAGTTATCCTGCTCACAAGAAAAATTAACAAAATGCCCCCTGTAGTCACAACGAAACCCCCCACGAAGCTCGGTAACGAACTTAACCTTGGTCCCGACAATAGTAAGCACCACACCAAGAATTATAATCAACATTTTACAAATACTTGAGTTATCTTGCTAACAAGCCACAAACACAAAAGGTGCACTAACGTGACGCACGGACCCCCCACGAAGCCGAAACTTGTACTTGACTTCGGCCTCAACAGCGGTAATATGCCTGCCAAAAATCATGGACGTCGAATCATGCCTTCCAGAGTTATATTGCAAAATCCGCAGTTCCCCACACTCCGGCGAGACAATTTCATAGTCCTTCTGACGAAGACAACTACTTGAGTAATTACCCACTACTAACAACTTAAAATCATAATACAGACTAAAATAATTGGCCAGTGGTCTTTGATGGTCAGAGATGAAATTCCAAGTGATACAAACTTGGGAATGATAGAACATTGAGTAGTAATAATTGAACACAGGAGTAATAAATCATATAAACATATCAAACAACTAAACAAAGGTACAAGGTAGGTTGCCAGTCAATTGTCTCACTGTGTCATATGGGTTCAGAAGTATTCTGATTTCAGTCTGTTTTTAAAAATAAACAATTTAACAAATATTACTTACACGTAGGCCCTAAAACTGTGTGTGTCCATATTAGAATTTTCTCTATTTCCAAAGCTGACAACCATTGAATTGAGTAAGAGTTGCCTGAAATAACACAATATATTTGATAGTACACTTTTCTTTGAATAAAAATGAAAATGTTTCCCCTTGATTTCTGAACTTGAAACCCATTTTAAACTAGAGAGGCCGACATTTGCTTGGGAGCAAATACAGCATATTTCAGTCCATCTCCCTCCCATGCAAAAGTGGACTATTCCAAACTTTAATACCCCAGTGTAAAACTGGCAAAGATTCTCAAATAAATGAATTATATAGTAGCTATGTAATTGAGAACAAAGATGCAAGAACAAGCACATTGAATCTCGAAAGCTTTACTAGTCTTATTACAGGTATGCAAATACTAACAATGATGAGATTTGATACATTTTGAAGGTCTTAGGCACATAAAATTGAATGTGTGGGTCATTCCGCACGACTTACGTGCAAGTGACCTCAGGTAACCCGCAATGGAACACGTGTTCCATGGATGGAACCGGCCATTCTTTAGATAGAACATGGAACGGGTATAGCACTTTTGGCCCTTTTTTTTGCTGAAAATAGCCATTAAAGTCCCCCAAATGAGTCATTTGGAAGTGGTGTATGCCAAATATGTGACTGCTATTCTGTAGACACATGTTCAAGGTACCCTTATACCGAATTTCAGATCATTTGGTTGTAAAACCAGGGCTCAGGATCCAAAAATCCATTTTTTGGCGAAAAATGCCCCAAAAAAACCTTCATAAAAATTTTTTAAAGGCATGTATCAAAAAAATGAAAAAAAAAGCCAGGGGGTATTGGCCCAATCTACCTCCATGCCAAATTTCAAGTCATTTGGCTGAATGATGGCGGAGTTGAATCCCTTTGACTGTGTGGCAGGAGGAGGAGAAGAAGAAGAAGGAGGAGAAGAAACATCAGAGAACACAATATGTTTCATCCATACCATGGTATGGACTGAAATATAAAAATAACATACCACTAATTTGACATGCAACATTATCCTACCGTAGTTACTGTGAACTCACAATCCTTTTGCATAATTTACCCCCATATTGGAAGGTTGTATTACCAGCCTTGGGCCCACAGATTATCCTGGGCAGCTGCCCCCACTTGTGGGAAGAGGCATTGTTCTTGCTATTATCATGTTAGTGTTAATGTACACCAGCCTGTATTCCCTCAGGGCTACTTCATTTCCACATAGAAAATACAGGTGTTTGTACATGTTTGCCTCAGGGCACATGTACAGCTTTTCAATTTTGTTGACATTAGGCCACACCAATTTAATTTGTTGTTTCTCGGATTCGCCCTGTCAATTTTTTTCTGATTTGCAAAAAAAAAAAATTTTTTTTGGGGGGGGGGGGGGTTACATGTAACTGCAAAATGCTCAATGAAAGACATATTTTGGCCCCAACGGTTGAAGAAAGTCCTTTTCTTCCTAATTGTTCAAGTTTTTCAATGTAACAAATGCAATTTTGTTTCATTAAAAGTTCAAAATCTATTGTTTTAATCATAAACCAGCCTAGTATGTTCACTTTATGGCTCATATTGTAACATTTCCGGCTATCATGAGGTGCCTTGGCCTTTTTTTTCGCCCTGTCGCTTCATTTTTATCTGAAAAAATCCGAGAGACAACAAAATTAAATTGGTGTGGCCTTAGAGTAAATGCAGTATGTGGATATAATTGGATATAAAGGATGAAAAGACATGTATTTTCTATATACTATATAATATATATATACAGTACTATAAATATTGTCCTAGCCCATCTTCTGAGTTCTACCTCTACAATGTACAATCATAGCTGAAATGATTCCATTGAAAAGCATCAAGGCTAATTTCTGGGTGGCAAAACCAAGAATATTCTGAATGAGCAAATCTGTCTGATATTGACATTCACTGCCATTTCTTAGCACATTTTCATCATTGTTTCATTGACATAGCCCTTACACAAGGTACTTGAGGTGTCTCTTTATTTTGTGGTACCGCCTATAAATAGCTATAGCCAGCATATGATAAAAAATCAAGCAACCGTTGTCCGTCATTGACATCGCATTTTCGCCTCACAGATATCAGTATATGTTAGGGTATAGGATGGATTTAACTTATTATTAGTACTGTGTACATAACATTAAAAGAATGACAGGAAAAGTGACTTTGAAAATCCATTTTTTGCCACCCTGACATTGCACTGGATACCCATAAAATTTCTCCAGGCCTGCATTTGCACAGATTTGACAAAACATCCCCTCTCTATTGTGAGCTAATTGCCCGCTCCCTCCTCCGTGGCATTAATACAGGATGACAATTGTGTCCAACAATACCCGACCCATGAAAATTTAAACACCTACATGCGTAACCTATCCCTGAGACAATGGCCCCTCGAGCGGCCGCGCCCGGGGCACTGATTTATCGGTCGGACAGTCGGAGCGGGTTATTTAGCAACGATGGGTGGCGGTAGTCATGAGTGGTATGAGATTCCGTATTACAACTACAGTTAGACGCCGTTCGCGAACACACACCACTGACCATGCTATCCGAGTGGTAAGCCCTTCTCTAGAACTACTTTGTGGAAGATCTTGTATCATTAGGGGAAATAATGATTTAATGAGTGATTTATTTGATAAGCATGCTGTCGTATTAAGCTACTTAAAAATCAAAGCAGCTATGTATGTATTAGGAAGGATATTGGATAATTTAAAATCGGAAAGCAAAAATTATTGACTCGTGTAAGATGCGTGCAAAATCTCACCGCGTTGTCATAGCGCTTGTCATAATAGTTTAAAAACAAACTATATCATACTGTATAAGCTGAGTACGCATGGAATTATCTGATTTGTTATTCTTTCATTAAGTAGCCAAGGAGCTTTAACTCTTGCAATAGCCATGTATTGACAGAAATAGGACTTTTCATACCTTATAAACTTAAAGGTATCTTAAGGTTTATAATTATAATATTCCTCGAATGTAGAGAGAGAAAGCTGTTTTTAAGAAGGGCAATAATGAACTGTGACAGAATTGAATATTATTGTTATTCAGATTATACTATATTTACTTAGGAGTCAGGACAGTAGCAGAGATGTTTTCACACATGTGCTCACTGCCCCTTCCATATGGTGAATTCAAAATTACTAAAGCTCACAGACATAAATAAGAAAGATGAATAACAAAGACATATTTGCAAAGGTGTATAACTTAACATTTGTCTGCCATACATTAATATCAGTTATGTTGCTTATCTATGAATAGTCCCTCATATTCATGTACAATGATAGTGTATGTAACTGCATTACATATACTGGAAAGGCATCAGATTCAGTATTTCATCATGAGTTGTAGTATCTAGATGCCAAGAAAAGAGTACTTAGTATTTGTTTATTTGAATTCACCACAAGTACAAATATACATTCTTGTCAAGTGAAAGGGAGGGCAAAACAGTATAGATACCTTTACAAGTTGTCCTCCCAAACGTCAATTTAAATATAGAACAATACAATATCAATTAAACAGATTACAATAAATATCAAACATTGTTAACATGAAATACAAATTCTTACAATATCATACATTAGACATGGAAAAACTGTCTACTACAATGTCATAAAATATCATACATTATATACAATAAGTGGTAAGGATTAAAAACTAGTAATAATACTAGTGACGTCTTAAAGCTGTACAGGAGGCACACCCACAGCAAGGAAAGTCGGAGCTGTAGTGAGCAAACTATTTATCCGGTACAGCACTTTATAACTTACTAACTGTTAAACAGTAGTTTTCAGGCATATACCTAAAAGAAAAGTTGACGTGTCATTTATTTCACTTTATTTTTGATTCAGCAGGGCACGGATGCCAAGACAGAGGCCAAACTCAAGCAGGTTCAGGAGCAGTACCAGGCACAGAAGAAAGAGGCGCAGGAGGCTAAGGAGCGAGTCAGGGCCCTGGAGCGAGAACTGAAGGAACTGAAGTCTGCCGCCGCCTCGGCCGCTGCAGGAGAGGTCAGGGTTCACACATACTACCTTCAGGCTGCACTTTAGAAGCACGTCGGCAGAACGTACTGTGCCTGCGCAGAACCCTGTATTCTCACGGGTTTTGTTGGATGTTTGGTCAACGTTGCATCAGAATTTTGCCATATATTTTCTGACTTAACATTTGGAAACTACAGACAGGATGCTTTCCTTATACAATTTGTATGCGCGAATATGACCTTATTAAGTTTTATGAGATTTCTGTCGAAGTGCTATGTACAATACATCACAGGTTTTCCGCAGGTGCAGTACGTTCTGCCGACATACTAAATTTAGACCATATGACACCAATAACACTAAATAAAATGCAACAGTTCAGTTCCTGAAAATAGTCAAACGTGATACATGTGCATGTACTAGGTGTTATTCAATGAACAAAGACGTTTGGACTAACTGATATAATTGGATTAACTGGCTGAAGAAATCAAGAGCTGGCTTGAGCTGGAAGTATGATTATGGTTTGATATTCAATACCTTCAAAATGGTTCATGTGTGGTGTGCAAGAAAAAATGTAAATCATTATGTTCATTGAGTTGCAATATTTTTGTTGCAGATGATAAGAAAATGTATAATTATATAATAATTATTACTTAATTATATAATAATAATTATAGATATTATTGTTGGCAGTCAAATTTGACTCTACATGTAATTTAAATCAAATTCAATTCTATTCTTTTATAAAGGCATGGCCTAAATTTGGTCAGGCTGCTCCCGAACATCAGCTAACCTTGGTCGGCTGGTGTTCGGGGGAAGGTTCTGAATGTGTGAGGGGGGCTTTAGTGATGACCATGTAGCTTTAAGTTATGAAATAGCTTTATAAGTGACTTCTATAATACTTAATGGTTCTTCTTTCTTAAACAGAAATCTGGTGCCAAAAAGACAGAGAAGCAGCTGAAGGACTTGGAGAAGAAATTGGAGTCAGAGAAGAAGAAGGTTGAAAGGGAAACCAAGAAAGCAGATGGCCTGGAACAGGAACTCAAGGAGGTCACCAAGGTAGGCAGCGTTGTCTTTTTGTGTAGTGTATTATATGTGTGCTGGAATGGCAGTATCTATATTTGTTGAGAATTTATTTCACTAAAAAAGGAAGGTAGCTAGAATACTGCCATGCAGAATGCCACTTTTTAAAATAAGATCTCTGAGATCTTATTTTA